ACTGACTCAAAATGTTTTACGGCTTTTAAACTACTGCTCTTAAGGCTCATTTAAAACATATACAATTACATAGCACGAGTTTGGTTCTGATAATGAGAGCGTCTAAATAAATTAACAACTGTTACCAACTTAACAACTCGTCAGTTTAACTCCTTTTGCAACATGCATAGGTTCATTAAAGGAACAAGCGGAAAACAAACGATACTGTAAAGAATACTGTGTCTGAACTTTGGTGACCTGGAACGTTCAATACTGGTTAATAATATATAAGCAGCAGACGAAGGATTGTAGTTATCGATGCATTGTAGTTCTTTAATAAAAAAAAGCTGTTATGAAAATAGCATTCTAAATAATTCTATGTTTTTTAGTCTCCAAGTAGAAAGAGATAGGTGAAGCTTTTAGATAAAGATAGGTGACTTTTCCTCGCATTTAGAATATCTCAAACGTGACGTAGGCGGTAATACCGTCATCTTGCATCAGACTCAAACGCAATACTGCGACTGTTATAATTGTCGAAAAAACGTAATATTTATTACTGAGCGTCACTTTCATATAAAATTCAGACCATGAAAGTCATTGGTCATCACTGACTTTACATGATTATGGTCTACATAGACATAATATTCCTTCACATAATACCAGTTTCTTCAGTAATTCTTTCACTGTTCAGGCTACACTCCTCTGGAACTCCTTGCCTAATGACATACGTAGAGCCCCTAATAGGACAAATGTTTGGTCCGTGATTTATTTCTAAATTACCCCTTATAACCTAGAATGTTGATGTTATCCTTGTGCCACTATCGTTTGTATGATTATATATATTTATGTGTGTAGATATATATGTATATACATATACATGTATATATGTTTAAGTAATTATATATATAAATATTTTAATGTAATAATTGCACCTACCACGATTTTATACCACGCCCCGGGTTGACTGGGAGAGAATGCCAAAAGTCATTAAGTTCGCCCGTTGTAATCCTTTTTATTTAAAGGTTGCAATAAATTATACATAAATAAATAAATATTTTATCCATTCAAATACTATTTACGCTGTTAACCATTGCTGTACAATAAAATCGTATATAAGTGCATGTTCACTATTTACAAAACCTATAGGGTACGTCCGGTTGATCCAGAATTGTTAATTTTGGTTAAAAGCAAGGTAAAGGGAAAATTCCGAAAATTAAGGTAAATTTTGGTACTCATAAGTTTTCGCGAAAACCTAAATTTGTCCATATCTTTTCATTGTGTTGACTCAAGACCTTGATTTATGCTACACTTACTTACTTTATATACCTAATAGAGACTATAGACCTCAGTATAAACTTCAACCTCTACCCGTTCCTGAGAAAATCAGTTGTGATACACGGACAGACGGAGAAACGGACAAGAGAGCGGTCTTAGAAAGGTTCCTTTTTTACCCATTGAGGTACGGAACACTAAAAAAATAAAGAAACCTATGTCGAATCATAATCCAAACTCGCCTTGATATAACTGCTCTTGCAATAATATCGCAGTAAGATGCAGTTTCGCAAACAATACTATTACAAAGTCAACAATCCGTGAGATAGATACAATGTTTGTTTACTCAAGGGGTCGTGTTCTGGACGGTATTCGGGTGAGTATTGCAATCGCCGCACTGAACAATCTATCCTTACTAATCTATAAAGGCGAAAGTTTGTGTGTATGGATGGATGTTTGTTATTCTTTGACGCAAATACTGCTGAATGGATTTTAATGAAACTTTACAATAATATAGCTTATATATCAGAATAAGACATAGGCTATAATTTATTTGTACATATTCTATGAATATCTGAATGTTGTCTTTCTATCTGAATGTTACTCCTTCAGTCTATTCTATGCAGACGTAGTCGCGGGCAGCAGCTAGTATTTTAATACGTGAGACCAAAACTTTGGATCCCTTTTTAAATTATATATTGGGAGTATGGAGGTGCATGTAATTAGGCTAAGGTAAACTTTATATGAAGAGAAATTGCTGAAAAACTTGAATACCCAAAATATCTATACAAATATGTATACATAGCAAAGAACTTAAAATAAAACATTGTTTACGGCCATGTTGTCAATGTGAAAAACGTAATTATTTGTTATCGGTCATAAAACAATTGCACAGAATAAAGTCGTCAAAGAATTTAAAAATCACTGATTGATACAATAAGTCTGAGAAAAATAATAATTCGTTACATTGAAGTCAGACCGGCTCGTACCTGCCTACTGGTGTTAAATAAATGTGCAATCAGAATATTGTACCACTACGAAGTATGCTTCTACTAATACAAAAGATTGTATTCATATAGTAACAGGATTGTAAATAAATTGTGAATAAACTTTGTCAAATGTCAATTTATCCCACTCTAATAGTGGTTCATCTTCACGACAGCGTGTTTTAAGTTAGCAAGCTAAAGTGCTAATTAGATGCACGGGTAGGAGATGAATGAAATACAAATTTTGTTAGTCTGCGTCGTTGTAACTACAATTATGAATTTATGAAACCATACGCTTTAGTAGAAAATACAGTGTTGGCAATAATGGTTGTTTTAATTTTACAAAATGTTTACAGACTATGACTTTTTCAGTCACGGTAACAAAGTCTATTACATCGTCTAGATATTTATTATTTATTTGTAGTTTTCTCAGACTGAATATGATATTTTAATCTATTTGTTAGTTATTGAATCAAAATAACAATGAAAAATATTTTATAGCGGATGATATTTACATATAACGTATTTATAATAATAGTTTGAAATGACTGTAACCATTAGCTAACTCACGTATTTTTTTAATTCATTTAACCGTCAAAGAGATTCTGCATTATGAATAACTGCATTTACTCGTTTTAAATCATTGGACATTCCAAAGTCGCTTTCCTTGCGTTGCTTCTACAGAAATGTTACACAGATACATTGGTCCATTTCAATTTTACTGAATCATTATGATTCCTAAAAACTTTAGGCTACAATCCTGAAAAGTAAGCCGTGATAGCTCGTAGCTACCTACGAGCTATAAACTCGAGCAACCTGATTTCAAATCCCGATGCTGACCTGGGACATTAAATTAATTTCATTAAATTACACCCCTTTATTTTATACTATGTAGTGATCAATATACTATTTATTTCTTATATTACACGAATAATACATATGCAAGTAAATAGTTTTAGGGATATATAACCAAAAAAAACTTTGATTATTTGTATTCATATAAAAACAAGTTTTTGCCCACTATATAACAGAAACCTGCTGACAAATTTATACATTTCCCGCCCTACACTTTATATTAATCAGTCATTTAACATTTTATAATTTATTAGTATGCTCGTCATATTATCGAAAATATAAACATACATTAAACATGCTAAGTTGCATGTTAACTATACCTAGATATGTCAATGTATAAAGGTACGACCATGCACTTTACTTATTTTTATAGATCCTAGTTCCTAGAAATCAAAAAACTTGTATTCAAAGTAAATTAGACTCATTTGACTCAGAGTTAACGTAGTTTTATTTGTAAAAAAAATCCAACATATATAAACGTTCGAAGCAACAAATTTCATTTATTTATTTTATCAGTAAAGTCGTAGAAAGTTGTCGCACATACTTTCGCTCTTAAGACACTCAGAGATGACATTTTCACACTATTAAAACACGTGTCATTTTATCCATAACCATTTTTATTTCGCACCGCCTTGTGGACGACTGTTTGTGGATGCATTGAATCCACGGTAGATGGAAGTTAACCAACACTTTAAACATTACCACTAACCAGTAAAAATTAACTGACATTGTACATCATAACTGCGGTGTAAAAGGACGTCGTAACTTGAAAGTAATTACAAGAACCAGTAAAAGAACGGAACGTATTATATATTTACCTTTAAAGCTAACAATGTTTTCAACATCTTTGGCCATCGCTCACCCTAAGGCCCTAAGGTAACTTGCTTGTTTGTCACCTCCTCTATCAAAAAATACCAGTTTCATCGTGGACACCTTTTTCATAATCACTACATATAGATCTTGATGCGAATTTCTTTACTAGATAGAGTCATTCAAGAGAAAGGTTTATATGTATTATACGTTGCACCCGCACGAAGCCGGGGCGGGTCGCTAGTGCTGTTATTATAATAATGCAAATTAAATTTTATGAAACCGTAACACATCCGAAGGCATAAATCGGTCAATGTATTCAAAATATTGTGTACTTGTAAAGAAAATTGTATCTACCCACTCGTGACACGACTTGACAATTTTAGTCGACGTCGCCCAACCATAGGCGGAAATATAACTTGCGTGACTTGTGAATATTTAAGGTTTTTGGAACATAATCTTATTTTCATTTAATTAATTTAATACTGTATTCAGGTATAACTGTCGTTTGTTGTCAACTTTAATGAGTTAATAATGATTAATTATGTTAAATGTTTACTTTCACATTGTCCTATTCATTTTAAAGTATAATTTATTTAAACCAGTACAATAATTGTGGGGCAAATGTAAAAGTGGATCGAATCATATAGTGTCAACGAACCGGCGTAACTAAGAATCACTATCGCGATTGATAATTAATATGAATGATTATATTACACATTACATTATAGGACATTTGTTCGTCTTGACACTACGACAATAAAGGAAGTTATGGAGTTCCGAAAAAAAATCCTGTAAGGTTATAAATATGAGATATATCTTAGGACTTCAATAATTTAAGAATGGATGAAAGGTACAGTTAGTTTGTATTCTCAGAAACACAGAACTAGATAGGTGTGTCGACGGCAAAGTAAAAAATAATGAAAAGCTATAAAATTGAAATTCTTTTATTCAGAAATTTAAAATTGTTTATAGTGCTAATCTTTGCTACATATTTTAATTTTTTTATTCACTTTAGATTTTCTAAAAGCTATGATATACATTAAAATCTGCCGGTGCCATTGCATGAATCAGTTCACATATTAGGCCTGTCACTAAATGGAGCGGTCGGACTCTTTCAAAAAGCGTTACTGGTCCGTGAGTGTTGTCCAACTGGGTAGTTTTCTGACGTAAAGGAAGATTAATTTAACGACGTCAAAAAAGGAAGTAAAAAAGTGAATAACGTACCCCTGCGAGCTTTAGGCGACTGCGGCGCTGACGGTACAGAGGATTTGTATAGCTGATGTTATACTCTCATTCCTTGGACTATTAAAGCTTCATCGAACGCAGAACCGGTGGACTAGCCAGAACCCACGGGTTTGAGGCCCTTCCCAGGGCGGTGCATGTGCTCATGCGTGCGTTAATTATGGCAAGTCACCTACGGGCCATCGAAGTGCAGAAAGTGACTCCGATGGCCGTTGGCTGTGCTTGGTTAGTCGGTGGCTGGGTGCGGAGAACCGCCCTGGAACGCGGGTACTGAAGCTTGTGTTGGTCACCTCTATGAGCGACTGCGGTGCTGACGGTACCGAATAGCGTACCCATGCGAGCTTTAGGCGACTGACGTGACGACGGTACTGAATAGCGTACCCCTGCGAGCTTTAGGTGACTGCGGCCCTGACGGTACTGAATAGCGTACCCCTGCGAGCTCTAGGCGACTGACATAGGTGCGAATACCCCTGCGAGCTTTAGGTGACTGACGACGGTACTGAATAGCTGCGAGCGGGTACTGAATAGCGTACCCCTGCGAGCTCTAGGCGACTGACTTGATGACGGTACTGAATAGCATACCCCTGCGAGCTCTAGGCGACTGACTTGATGACGGTACTGAATAGCGTACCCCTGCGAGCTCTAGGCGACTGACTTGATGACGGTGCTGAATAGCATACCCCTGCGAGCTCTAGGCGACTGACGTGCCGACGGTACTGAGGCTTGTGTTGGTGTCAGTGCGCAGCTGGGCGCGCCGCGTGGCAGGAGGCGGCGGCGGTGTCGGTGGGCGGCGGCGCCGGTGGTGCGGGGGGCGCGGCGCGCAGGTGCTCCGTGCTCGGGGACCACCCGGGCGCCAGGCGGGACCCGCGCGCCAAGTGGCACCGCAACAACCGGGTAATCGTCAAGGGAAAAAACCGCGTCCCACTGCATGGCACAGCTCACCGCGTCAAAAAAGTACGAACCGTCTGTAACCGGGGTTGGGAACCCGCCGTAGTGCCCCGTCGTAGTCGACCCCGAACCTTAGAGCCCCGTTGTTTCTTTAGCGCGATCTGTGCCGATTAACGGACCACGGACTTCCTTATTGTTTGTTGAACTTCTGGGTTGAGATGTTTGTTTTTGTTCAGTGATCTACATTAGACCACCTGTATAGAATAGCTCTACCTATAGACTTCTAAACTCTTCCGTATTATTTCTGTTGTTGTTTATGTTTGACTCCAATTACTAAGACCACGGTCTTTATTATAACTATCACAGACAAGGTTGTTATCGGTATTGATCCTCATTGTTACAAATTGAATCATGATGTGTCCAATATTAAAACTGTTACAAATGATACAAAGTGAAACAGTCTCCAGGGGCGACTGTAAGGTAATTATGAAGCACTTCGTTAAAAAACTAAATACTTTATTAATCGATAACTTTGGTTTACTGAGGATGTAAGTATGCAAATTTTGTACTAATAAAAACATACTCCGTTAATATAAAATTAAAAAAAGTCAAAAGTCTAAAGTGATGCTTAAAATGTTAAAGAATTAGTTTAAAACAAACACAGAGTTATAATAACATAATTAAATTATTTTAACTTTTTTGTTTTCTATTTCTCTGTAGACTAGTGCACGTATGTTATGCTCATTCCATTTTATTCCTTCCTAATTCTTACAATTTTCTTAATATCTTCTCTTTTTTGTTATTGATAGACATTTTACTTGTAGAATAATTTCTTACTAAAAATATAAATTTGTACGAGATATTCCCGAATGGAATTAACTGAAGTAATAAGCTGTGCCTTAGTGAAATAATATATCTTTTGTTTAAAATTGGTATTTTTCTGAGAGTCGTTTTAAAAGATCTCTTTTTGAACTTATTGTGTCCGCAGTAAACCTTTAAAAGATTCGTTTGTGTATTTAAGGCTCAGATTGCCTTTAGTGTCCTCAAGCTCTGTCTAAATGATTACCTAAACAGTTTCATGTTATAATATGATCAATTGAGTTAACATGTTCAGGTATCTCGATGACGCCTTCATTGGAACATTTCAGGTACGGGACGCGTCATACGGCTCCTCGTCGGAATCGGACGGGGAGGCGGAGGGGGCCAGTGGCGAGCCGTGGGGCGTGGCGAAGCTGCTGTACGCAGGCCTAGCAACTCTGGCCGTGGGCCTCGTCGTGTACTTCGTGGGAACCGGCGACAAGGTGATCAAAATGTCGGGAAAATAAAATTAACAACGGTAGGAGGTCCCTTGGTAGAGCGAATAGGCGATCAGGTAAAACCAAAACGTAGAAAAAAGAAAAGTGGAAAAGCTAAGATACAACGATAGGTCTCTTGGTAGAGCGAATAGGGGACCGGGTGAAACCAAAACGTCAGAAAAATAAAAATAAACAACGATAGGAGGTCTCTTGATAGAGCGAATAGGCGATCAGTTAAAACCATAACGTAGGAAAAAGAAAAGTGGAAAAGCTAAGGCACAACGATAGGAGGTCTCTTGGTAGAGCGAATATACTTGGTAGAACTAAAACGTCGGAAAAATAAAAATAAACAACGATAGCAGGTCTCTTGGTAGAGCGAAGAGTGGACCTGGTAGAACCAAAACGTCGGAAAAAGAAAAGTCGAAAAGCTTAGTTACAACGATAAGAGGTCTCTAGGTAGAGCGAATAGGGGACCTGGTGGTACAGTACGAAGTGGTCTCAAGACGATTAGGGAATTAGGGAGGGGTTATCCTTCTCGAGGTGGCGTGCTCATGGGCAGTATTGTGGGGCAACGGAGCAGTCCGGAGTGCGAGCGAGGGGGTTGTGGTCGATATGAACCCCACGCGACCCTGTTTTCCCATAGGCGACACATATTTTGAAGACTAAAAAAAGAAGTGAGAGTTAAAGAGCGATAAAACGACTGTGTTTAACTATGGAAAGTGAAACTTAGGAAGCATCTAAGATGAGCGCTGGATAAATTCTGACGTAACTCTGGTTACACGGGAAATTCTAGAGGATACAGAGATAATTTATTTATTTATTTTATTTATTTATCTATCGTAAGTAGATGCAAAAGTAAGTTACAATACATGTCTTAAAAATAAGAAGATAGTAATGAAAATTAATACAAAATTTTGTAACTAACCTCAAACTACGAAACATTAACAATGGATCCCAAAATAAGCAGTGCTTGTATCTTGGGAGCCAGAGCTGCCAGATTTGCAATAGGTGTTTAGTTACATCGTGAAGACTAATCGCTAATAACAAAAATAAAGTGACTAAGATGAAAAAAATAAAAAATAAAATAAAACGAAAACTACAAAGTATATTAGTAATTGTGGCTTAAAATCAGATTTTAAGATAATAATTGATAATAAAAATTTAACCGCACAGTAAGATAGGGATTACTAAAACTCATCGCGTAAATATTAAATAAAGATGTTTTGTGTGTTTTCTCGTACTGTACCTAAGATATAAAGAAGAACACAAATATCAAACTATGAAATTATATACTAAGTAAGATTCGTGACATTCAGTCTTAGCTTAGATTATCTCAGAGTCAATCAAAAAATAAAATGAAATAAAGTCAAATAAATTCAAATAAGAAGTTCTTTAAAAGAACTAACGGCTTCGTTGCCGTTTCCACACACTGGCAACGTTAGCCGTTACTCTTTCTAACACCACTGTATCGCAATTAGTGAAAGTTACAAGTATCACCGTCAAACAATGCGGAAACAGGAAGCTTTTAACACGCAACCAGGTGATTTGTGGCTTTCCCCTGTAGAAATATAAGAAGTTGGAATTATAAAGAAACGTACGGCTTACGTTAATGAAAGTTATAATTTCAAAGACTTTTTAAGAAGTATTTCTTTGCGGTCCATTTCATTAGCAAAGATTGAACGACTACCCGATTTTCAGCTGTATAAGAATAGTAGGGGAGCCCAAACGTGGATTTGGGGAGAGATTTACTAGCACTAGCAGAACAACATAAAACTTTTATTATAACTTTCTTATCATTCTTTTTTTCTGTATCCTCGTATCCTAATATGACAGATTAATGAAAAAATTGAGGATACATAGGTTGGAAAAAAAATTAAACATCAAGCTGTGCATCTATATATTTCGATTTTTTTTTCATATTCAAAAATCGCCCATGACTCGCCTCCAAATCGGCAGTCTTTCAATATCTGACCCTTCTCAATATCTGACGCACTCGAATATTTTTTCCATTTTCAACGTCCTGCCACCCCGGCAGATTAATATTTCTCCGTTTTCAGAAACACGCGGAGTGCTTAAACTATTAAAATCTGAAGTACCCGAGTATTTCCTTGTGATTGCTTTTTTTACATTTTTGAAAACCTGTAAGCGCTCCCCCAACCAGAGAATCTAAATACATCATTTAACCTTTTTTACTTCTATTCAATAATCCCCAGAATGAAACTCTCAAGAAGCTCAAGGCATAAAAAATTAACCAATTGCCTTACTAAGTTGTTCTAAATAAAAATAAAAAAATATTTACCAGTCAAAATACATCACGAATAATTGGCAAAGGCTGGTATACACATGTCTACAGAATATTATAAGAATATACATAATATTATTCAATATACACAATATTATTAAGTTTATAACGGGCTGTGGTAAATGATATGGAAGGCGAACTAGGCTAGACTTGTGCAACAAATTAATAATACGTAATAAATTGTCATTCAATTGTTTCAAATCTAATGGATACTGTCTAGTCAGAAAAGGTTGATAATGCTATCTGTCAGATTTATAATGCTAACATTGCCTGCATGCGCCAAACAAAATTACGTTAAAATATATTTCAATCTGAAGTCACCAGACACAATGTCTACCAGCCAGAAGATATCCTCTAAATGTACGAACTTCCCTAGATTTGGTACTGTTCTATACTGAGAGGTATCTAAGTATCCGGGCTAAGCTAGTCGGGCAATTTTTCCTCATCATTTTAGCCTGTTTTGGTCCAATGCAATCTTCATTAATTTCGACTACTATAAAAAATTTACACCGCTGTTTAAAACTAGGGTTTCAAAACACCGGCGCTTCGCCTAGTGGGCCCATCGCTCATCGTGGCTGGGCTCGCCTGTTGTCTGCTGCGTATCCTGTTTTGCATATTCGCGAAGCCCTGCTGCCGTCGACGCGCCAACTACAAGGAGAACAGAAGGTTATTTGACATTCTTTTAGCGTCTGCTCTTGCACGAATGGGGTAGGCTCGTCCTGAGTGGTACCACGGTCTCACAGAAGACCGGCGTGAAGTTTCTCGTTTTGCCTGGGGATGACCGAACCGGGGTCCCCTGTTTTCTTTAAGTTATCCACGCATCTGCAAGCCCTCAGATGATATAGATGTCCGAGATGGTAATCTCTTATCATCAGGTTCGCCACTTGACAACTTATCGCATAGAAATGAGATTCCAAAGGCATGCGTACATCTCATTTCATCAGTCCACATTAACTTGGATCGTGACTAATCTCGTGACATCTTTATTTGTCTTGACCCGGAACGACCAGTTCCGGGTACTAGACAAATTAGATGCAGACAGACTTTGTACGGGGTCTTGTCATACTTTAAATGTACCTGCAGTAACAAACCTAAAAAAGACCAGGAAAATTATGCTTCAAAAAAAATTGTTGAATCAATTTTTTCGTCTAAAGACAATTTATTTAGTTTCGATCAATGAAATTTAAATTATGATAAACAATAATTATGATTTGGGTTTTCAATTAACGATTATAAAATTAATGTAACAACGTCTGTAGCAAAATCCTGATTATGAATTTTCCGAAAAACGTGGTAGACTATACTTATATAAGTGCTTCGAGCAATTGAATGAAAGTGAATGAGTGAGCGATTGAGCAAAGTGTTTTATCACTTCAGACTGTCGGGAGGGGGGGAGGGGGAGGAGATGCCTCTGGCGGGGGGCTGCCCAGGGGCCCCGCGTGCGGGTCCCGCCCAGTGCTCGCCAGCCAGGCGGCTGGACGCCTCCTCGTGCGATGTATCCAGCTTATCCAGTGGGGAGGAGGACGAGAGGCTGCGGAGGTACCGCACCGCCTCGTCGCAGCCGCAAGCTGTTATCGTACAGCAGGTACATATGAAACAGTCCATCCCCGAAACGCTTCAATGAAATTCTATCTTTTAAAAAACTTACACGAACTATTCGCGACAGGCGACCCATTCGAAAACGCTGAAGCCGCCCGTGAGCAGCGGCGGCCCTGGCTCCCCTGGCGCCGTGGCCAGCACCTCCAACCCTGGCGGCCGCCGCCCACCGCCCCGGAACGTATCCTTCGCGGGCGGCCCCGACGGCGAGCTCGTCCTCAGCCCCGCGCAGCTGCGCTCATAACCCACAAGCAATAAAGGTTGTCGCAATACTTTTCTATGTCCACACACTCCTCGGCCCCACTGACTCTACCTTCGAGCGTGTCAACGGCCATGTGATAGCGTGACTTTGGCCGCGCAAATTTTGTGTGGCCCCACTTTAGGCTACGGAGTGATCGATTATTTGCACGTTTGACTTATATATCGCAAGCTCCTATCGATATTCGTGTTTTTGATTTTAAGTGTACTGTGCTAGATTCGGCCCGATGTCGGGTTGCCTGTGTACGCGACGTCACCGTTTTTTTATGTACTGAACGCTTCGACTGCATGTATTTTCTATGTCCACGTTGGAAGAGGCCCTAAGATGCAAATGAGACAATTAATACGTGAGAGTAACTATTTTTGTGACAGTGACAATCTCAGTGAATGTCTCCTGAATCAACGCAATGATTATAACCTAATTCCGTAAATCTAATAATAAATAAATAAATTAACAACATTAACTTGTAAGTTACCCCAATATGTACCTATGACTAAAATATATCATTGCCTCTTAGGATCTCTAGCAATGGAACTTACTATCATAAACTAAGCGTAACATTCTAGTGAATCAAATACCTACTAAACGTTCCAGTTGAATCCGTCTCGATTCCATATAGTGGATTCATTTACTCTGAGGTGTGGTATGAAGCAATCAGCTTTCCGTGAATCCATTATTAGATAATTAAAGTACAGGATAAAAAGTAATGCGAGCTTTTTCGAGAAAATTCTATTCAATAAATTTTACATTTTCTGCGCTCTACGAGAATGTTTTATTTTTGTTGCACTAAAAAAAATGCAACCACACCTCTGAGTAACGTTGGAATTGACAGTAAATATACTTATAAAAAAATTGTTTTAAAACTGCCTATGAATAGTTGCGAATTTATATTTAAATAAATATAAAATTCATAAAAATAGATATATAACTGACAATAATGATTGTTAACTGATGTATGAAGTGTTATGCGTACATGCGATAATTTACTTTTAATTATGTCCAAAAAATATAAGTAGTTCAATCGTCGAGTTTATATTATAAATACTATTTTCAAAATGACGATCGTAAAGTTATTTTACATAAAACACGATTACTCTATATTCCTACTACTGTATTGTCAAATTTTCTTTCACAGAGTAATATTTATTTGTATCATATAAATATAGGTGCAATAGAAGAAAACTAATTTGGTTAGAAAATTATTTATATTGTTTAAGGTTATATTTATTTTGTCATAAAAAACTTGACGTCTGAACTATAAAAACTTCATCATTATAATATATTATTAGCAAGTAACATAAGAATCGGTGTATAGCGAATGATACTGTTTAACAGTAATGTTTTTATGTGTAAGAAAATATTGTATAATTAATTTTAATAAACTAAATGAGTGTTATGCGTGCATTGTATATGGCACATTATAGTAAAATACCATTTATAAATATATATTATATATATTTTAGAAATATTTGCACCTTTCGTAGTAAAATGTGTATATCCGCAGATTTTAGCTACAATATATTTATGATGGGACTCACTTTTTGACACAAAGTGAATTGAAGCAAATTTAAAGAATAAATTCCTATGAAATGTAACCAACAAAAAATTAATGTGGTTAAAAATTTTTGATTAGTTTTGTCAATTATATCTCTATCTTTGTAATCAGATTATAAATATGTAGTTGTTTTGGATTATTTAAATCTAAGAATGGTCAATTACTTAATGTTTATTTTATTATAAGATTTATATTTTCGGTTTCTTTTAATGGCATAGGCATTGCGTGCTGCCAAAACTTCAAAGAGTTGAACCACTCTCGAATTAATCTCCATATATGTGCAATTTTATTTATTTTATTGTAACCCACAATAAAAATGACCTTAATTTAAAATAAGTCCTTTAAAAAAATGACATAGTTTACTTATATTCAGTTATTTCCACGGGCAGTCCAATTTAAATCGTATTTATTAATCTAACTAAATTATATTAATTCGTTTTCATTAAGTGGCCATTTGAATAATAATGCATTTATATTGGTTACAATTTCAACACCATCTCAAATTTAAAACTTTAATTGACAATTTGATAATAAATTCTAGATCAAGATATTATATTTTACCAAATTGATATATTTACTCCTACTGTTTTATATCGTTAAAGCGATTCAAATTCTACCTTTTGAATAAACGCTTTATGATATATTTGTAATAATGGAAAAAAGAGGTACATGATAAAAATCATTTTTCTCATTTTAGTTATTACTCAACATACAAAATTACTATTAATTTATCGTCATATTGTGGTAATATAAATAACTGACCGTATGGTGATGAAACACAACAATGTGATATGGTTATTCGTTTATTATTACAATAATTTTTTAACATATTTATATAATTAAATGACGGCTTACACTTTGTATCTATGACGCACCGAGAGTTGTCGATTTTTTATGTTTATACATGCAACTATATACATAGATACAATATATCAATGTATCTAGGTACAACACCAAATTTCATGATAGGTTACACCCCTGCTGTCACATTCAAATTTAATTTCCATGTATATGTACCCACATAAATAGATGTTAAGGAAAATATGAGCTTTATTTAGACTAACTGGATGGCTTGTGTAACGAAGTGTTGTTCATGTTATCGAAGTAGAGTACCATTGCATTACCATGATTTTTATTTTATTGAATTTCACGACACCATTGTTTTAATCTGTGCTTCGTTCTCAGAATAAATATTGATTTACTAAGTTTACATTATTATAAGCTTAACGAATGTAATTTTTATACAAATTCTTGTTTAGGAATCCCATTTACCATCAAGCGCACATAACTGGTGACAGGGTTCATATTTTATATTTTACTAAAGGCAAATTTTATTATTATTTATTTACCGTTTTACTACCTACTTCTTAACAAAAATACATTTTCTCCAAAAATATTTTTACAATTTAATAAATCTACCCTGCTTTCTAAAATGAAAAAGATAAATCATTTATAGAAGGAAAATATTTATCTAAAATATTAACACCCTCAATGGGAAGTTTTAACAAATTTCAAACAAATACGTTATAAACAGCACATAACGTTTAACACCGTAGTTTATACTGCTTTCAACACATATTTCTGCTATATACTATAATATATATATATATATATATATATATATACTATAATACTGCTTCCCCTACTTCCATGAACACACATTTATGTATATTTTAAAATAACAAGCAAATATTTACATTCAAAACTCGTTACAACTATTTTCAGCAATACACCAGTTAACAAATTTAGTAAATTACTTTTGTACCTAGGTTTTCAACGAATAGGTCAGGGTTAGGATTTGAGGCTCCTCAAAAATTGTGAAAACTCCACATGAAACAGAGTCATAACAGGTTACATTCAAGGAAAATCTACAAAAGGCTACAATAATTATAAGAATCATATTGTCTGTCAGTGGTTTTCATAAAAACTGTGGAGTCATGGTTATGTATGATACACGAGTTAAGACCATTATCAATCCATTCGAATCACTAATTCAATCAATGCCAATATTAAAAAAAAATATGGTACACAGTAAAAAAAATGGCAGCTAATTAGTTTGAGTTCTTTTCTAACTATTAATTTAACATAATTTTCTTTCGTTATTGACATTATAAAATAAACTGAACATGTAATATTCATGTAATAAATAATGTTATGTGCAATATGATATAGGTACGTGTTTCTCATATGTGAGTTAAGTTAAACTGTACTTAAATAAATTACACGTCTTAAATAAAATATGTGTGCTTCCATGTATGCTTAAATAGGCAATCAATATTAAAATCTCCTATGAATCCTAGGAATTGTTGGTAATAAATATAGCTATACGACATTTTATAAGTTATTATACGGCCTAATTTATAGCTACGTTTTGATTCCTCTTAACACACATAAGCGCGTTCATGCGGTTTATCTTCTGTTCGATGTTTCAAAAGAATTACGAAACTGAAATATAGCAATATATTAGGTACTTAAGTCGAAATGCGGTATTTTTGTGTTTTCTTTCATTGATTATTCAATTAATTAAAGTCAGTTATTTTGTATTAAAGTATTTTTTTGATTATCTTACGGAAAATTTTACTATTTGAACGTAATTGTGGCGTCACATCGTAGCTATGTAAATATTATTTTGTCGTTGTTTCTGATTACATACTTAAATGTGTTTTGTACATAGCGTATATAACATACTCTAAAATGCAATAGTTATAAGAATTGAAGAAGATAATTATATGTTAAAAACTGGCAGTTTTCAATTTTATATAGACATATGTTGATAATGGCTTTTTAAGAACCGTCTCGAATACTTATTATAAGTTGCGCTGACCAAACTGTTTAAATAAGAATAACTTACAATTAAGATATAGTTTGTTGTAAAAAAAAATCGTTCCTTTAAGTATTTATCGCATTAAATACCGCTAAACATTAATAGTTCAACAAAATTAAGAGATAATTCAGACATACAAACTACTCTCGTCTGTTCATTGGTGTACTGTCATTGACTTCGAAATAATTATACTAATACAAAGACTTAACACTTCCTAAATTGTATTACTTAATTCTATTGCAATTTGATCGTATATATGTTTTTAGTTACCTTCTATCTCTTTACCAAATATTACTGCAGACTGCATTCACATCACCAGCTAAAAATCGCAAGATTCCCTCAGAAGCATGAGTTGGTTAAAATAACCATTGTTAATAAAATTTATTATACGGAGTTTATGTAAGTTCGCGAGATGATATGTTGAAAGATGAGTTACCCTATAAAGAAGGTTTTATACATTTGTTTCATATTAGAGCTCAAGTGTCAGCAATGTAAATATTTTGTTTAATAAATATATAATATTTATTATATTTTGTTGGGTTATGTAAATATTTTTGTTCGTAAAACCAAATTGTAACATCGTTTGTATTATTTATAAACATT